CTCACAGTCTCTGTGTACTCGTGGATGTCGTTAGCTGTTCCTTTGAAGATGCTCCAACCTGTAGCCTCTAAGCAGCCCTGCAGGCTGGCTTTTGCACTGTCAGTCCAGTTGTTAATAGTCCTGACTGTGACGGGCTTTGTCTTGAGCTTTTCGTTGTAGATGTGATTTATTTCCCCTGGTGGGAAGGTTACAAACTGATGCAGTTCAGGCATATTTTTCTGGAAATGACAACGATAAAAGTCTCCCAGAACAATTCAGCCAGGGCCAAGTCAACATGTTAATTTTCATGCTCATTTATCATGTCGTGCAGCCCCCTCATCTCAGCCTCCTTATATCCAACACTCACAATGATGCACTCCAGTTCTCCAGGCAAGTAAAAAGGCCTTAACCTCACAGTCAGAAATTCCACATTTTCAGGGCAGGATTTTGAAGTAATCTTACAGTCAGTACACCATGATTGCTTGACGAGGGCGGCAATTCCTCCGCTGCGGCTCTTGGCGGTGCCCGTACAGCTTTGGTCCGCTCTGAACACCATATAGCCATCTGGTGATATTGCCGTATCAGGTGTCCTCTCCCCCGGCCAGGTTTCACAGAAACACAGTATGGAGCACTCCTGAATGTCTTTTAGCTTGGAAATCCGAGCATGGAGTTTGTTCATTTTCAAGACTTAATTTTTGCAAGCAGCATGATTGATTGATTAAACCCTTTATTTGTCACTTGCAGTTGCCTGCCACAGTGAGATGATCATGGTGGTCATGTTGTTTAGGACGCACAGAAAATCCATCACTGGTTCGCAGGTGTATCAACTTCCTGTTGAAGAGCCGTGAGCTACGCCAGGATCTTTCCCACATTGCGTTGCATAAGAACAGTGTTAGTACTCACAGCTCGTCCCAGCCCTTCGATCATTGCAGCTAGCCTTGTGGGGTTTTGAACAGCTGTAACTGCTTTCTTCAATTTCCGATTAGCCAGGGCCAAGCCAGTTCCAATCAGCACGAACCCAGTTATCATGGTTCAGAATAGATAAGATAAGATAAGATAAGATAAGATAAGATAAGATAAGATAACCTTTATTAGTCCCACACGTGGGAAATTTGTTTTGTCACAGCAGGAAGTGGACAGTGCAAAAGTTATGACGCAAAAATTAGAATACAATAAGAATAAATACAGTACACAGCTGTACAGAATAGAATAAAATAAAATACTATATACAGTAGAATAAAATAGAATAAAAATATACAATGAGATAAAAATAGAATACGAATGCTATATACAACTGAGTAAAAATACAACGATGCCAGAAAAGATTATTGCACTTAGTATTATTGCATATGTATGGATGTGTGTGTTTGATCAGTTAAAGTTTTTATTATGGAGTCTGACAGCAGTGGGGAGGAAAGACCTGCGAAATCTCTCCGTCCCACACCGTGGGTGCCGCAGTCTCCCACTGAAGGAGCTGCTCAGTGCTGTCACAGTCTGCTGCATGGGGTGGGAGACGTTGTCCAACAGGGATGACAGCTTAGCCGCCGTTCTCCTGTCACTCACCACCTCCACTGGGTCCAGAGGGCATCCAAGAACAGAGCTGGCCCTTCGGATCACCCTGTTGGTGATGTCTTTGATGTCCTCAATAGACAGTCCCGCTAGGGCCACTTCTGCCACCATCCATCTGGTTAAGACATTTAATTTTTTGATCTACGCTTGTGCTTTTTGATTTCCTCACCATTTTCATAAATTCACACCTGTTGCATTTGATTTCAAGAACAGCTAACATGTATGATTCAATAGAAGAAAATGGATATTGTATATTGTAAATGACAAAACACAGAGTGTTGAACAAAAATGTGAGATGAAGTATTTCACTGTTTTAAAAAGAGGTTATGCTGAAATGGTCATGTGAGCTAATAATAAATCTAATTGAAGTGAAATTGCATAAACTGAATGAAACATACGATATACTCATATGTACTGGAATTATTGACATGTCATTGTAACAAACCACGGCAGACCCGGTGACATTTTTATGCTTTTATGCATCGTTTATTAAATCTCACACAGTTGCTGTTCACACCACAGCTGCAGCCAACCCCCTGCCAGCTCAACATACCAACAACAACCACGACAGACAAAAAGCAAAACTTTTTATGCCGGTGAGGCGTGACTGTAGATGCCATGCAGCGGCGCCGCAGACCACGCCCTGCCAGTCATATTTAAGTACAGCATAGAAAAGACGGAAATGGAATGATATGTTAAAACTTTTCTTAAAGTGTTTATGTGAAAAAGTGGGAGAAGGAGAAGGTGATAAGGTGTGGCTGGACATCAAGTGATTGTATGTCAGGAGAGAGGAGGAGGAGGGGGGGAGAACATTCTTGTTTTTGCGATGAAGCAGAAGATTTGGCTCTGTGGTGGCTGTAGCTCAGATGGTAGAGGAGGTGGTTCGATTTGCCTGCGTGCACCAGTCTCAGTGGGCAAGATACTAACCCCAACATGCTCTCTGATGCTTCTATCAGAGTATGCATGTGTGTGAATGGTACATAGAAGCACCTACATAGAAAGAGCATAGAAAAAAAAGTGCTTGAGGGAATAGGCGACTGAGGCATTGTGTAAAATGTAAAGCTCAGAGTAGAAAAGAGTTCTATAAGAACCAGTCCATTTAGCATGGACACACCTTTCTGTAGCGTCCTCTCTTGCTGCAGTTATATCTTGTCACCTCATTACTTGATTTCCAATAGTTGGGGAAGCTGGCACATCTATAGCATGCCGTCATTCAGCAGGTGTTTGATGTAGGGTTTTGTGTGGTGATTGCTTTTACATCTTCTGCGTAATGGTCACTGGATCAGTGTCCCAGTTATTATCCACCGTGAGGTCAGTTTGCTGACTTTTAATGGCTTCAGACTGCCTTGCTGTGTTGACTGCTTTGGACTGCAGAGTTAAGTCTTTATCCAGCAGCTCAGATAGGCAGGTTTACTTCAGTCCTACCACTGTATGATGTCTGATAAATTTGTCATGCAAAGCACTATAGTTGCTGTTTTCAGCCAAGGCATACAGTCCAATAATAAAGGTGTCTAATGTCTCCATAGTTTGTTGAACTCTGTTGAATTTAGCTCTCTTATACATCACATTCTTTCAAGGTACAAATTACAACTCATATGTCTCTTTTACTGCGTTGTACTGTTGTTATTCTGCCTCTTAGAGAATTTGACCACCTAACATCATAAAATACAACAAGGTGACCTGTTTAACATTACATTACAATGACTCGTCAAGAATGTCTCATTTCTTTTAAATACCTGTTGCATTAACTCCTCTCACCTGGAGTGTCCTCATGCTTCTCCTCACACCACTGCAGGGAAGGACTAAGACTCTAAGACAGTGCATGGAAAAGACAGAAGTCTTTTCCATGCACTGTAAATGGTCCTCAAAGTGTGACTCAGTGTAACACAGCCTTATGACATGTTAAGAAGTGTTGGAAAAGCTGGTTTGTCCTTTGGTTATAAGAATTTGAAGAACTCCAGGGGAACAGTGGTCTCCATCCTGATGTCCAGAGGCCTCCTTCTCTTCCTTGGACTTGGACTGGAGGCCTGGTCATTTGTCACCAGATGTTGGTAGGGTAGAAGAATGCTCCAATTTGGAAGAAATATGGAGCTGTTAATGTGTGGATGAGTACCCAAATCAAAGGCGATGGCTTTCTCCATTAGAAATAACTTTAATTTCAGTTTTATTGCAGGTATTTCAGAGGTCGGTCATCCAGACCATGGAGAAGAAAAACCCTCCCACAAAGACGTAAAATAAGAACAGTTCGGGGCTAAGGTCAATGGTTTATCTGCCTCTTACTATTGGCTGATAGTGAGACTAAGACCATTGTTTGTTTTTTGACCAAGTGGACATCTGAACCAATGAAATCAAACATATATAGATAAGACCTGGAAGGGGCCTGTTTGGAGGCGTGGTCCCACTCCTGAAATTCAGATAATTTATCTCCAATTAAACAGTTCTCAAATTTAACTTCATATCTGAGTGTCTCTTAGTTATAGACCTGGGCGATCGTGGCTCAAGAGTTGGGCGTTCGCCTTGTAATCGGAAGGTTGCCGGTTCGAGCCCTGGCTTGGACAGTCTCGGTCGTTGTGTCCTTGGGCAAGACACTTCACCCGTTGCCTACTGGTGGTGGTCAGAGGGCCCGGTGGCGCCAGTGTCCGGCAGCCTCGCCTCTGTCAGTGCGCCCCAGGGTGGCTGTGGCTACAATGTAGCTGCCATCACCAGTGTGTGACTGGGAATGACTGGATGTGTAAAGCGCTTTGGGGTCCTTAGGGACGAGTAAAGCTATACAAATACAGGCCGTTTACCATAGACCTGTCATTTAGTCTCATTCTTTTCCATGGTTAGAAATTAGTCACCAGAACATCCCCACTTGAAGGTATCCAACTAGAGTGAAGGTAATTTTCTAATCACGCGACACATGATGTGATGTCAACATTGGTGTGAGACACCCACAACACAGCAAGCTTGATGGTGCCATGCAACGAGAGTCCAGCCAGTATTATGGGGCCTTAATAACCGTATTACCTATAACTCAACAGCTTATTCACTCTCCCTGTCTGGAAACCTGTGGGCTCTCCTCAGATCCCTCCGAAGTTTCTGTTCTGGAACTCCCTCGAGTGAGATAACCAGATGTACCCAAAACAGTTTAGCAAGTCTTCCACACTTTTCCCAGTCCCAGCTACCATTGTTTCTCCTCACTCAAATGAGCTTCTGCTTTAGTTCCCACAGTCAGTTTTGCCATACCAGTCTCCTGTTTGTTCTCAGTAAGTTACACTTAGTCTGTAAATAAAGCTTTTAAACTTCTGGTGTGCTGGGTCTGAATTTAAAGTCCAGTTTGCGCCAAATACATGACCGCAGGTCTAAAACCCCAAAGTCAAGGAAACCAGCCATAACACAGGATTAGCTACACTGGCCTCCATATGTACTGGCAGAGTAAGTTATGTAAAGCACAGTGGATCCACAACAGGCAATACATTACCCATTTATTTTAGTAAACAATTAGTTTTTTGTCAAATATCACAAATCACATGTGCTAACAGCATTTCCCAGTTACTGGAAAACACAGATGAATGAATGAACCAAGGATGTGTTTGATCTCTGACTCAGCTCAAGGACAAATGTGGAGTCAGGGCTGCAAAGGAGAGCAAAAACAAAAGCATATTAGAACATATGAGCCTTTAAGATCTGAATGACACACAAGGATCATCAAATTATGTGTTTCTTGTTCCATTATAGCTGATGGCTAACACTGAGCACAGAGATCCAATACACCTGAGTGTATTATCAGTGTGGATCTCCATTAATACTCTCAGGCATGAAATTCATATTTCCCAGCCTTCTAAGGTTTATATAACTCTTACTAACAAATTTAACAATTCAAATTTACATTCAAGTGCAGCGACAAATCACTTTGAGTGTTTTGGAGATCTGAAATCAGAAAACTGGTCTGAGCCTGTAATGTGAGATATTTAAGAAACATTGGTAAATTTGCACTAAATGTGTGCATCCTACTTTTACTTCATCGAGAAGCCCGACTTCAGTGAGCTGAGCTTGCTCAGTTTCTCATCATCAGAGCGATTCAAAAAAGATTGTTTCAGAAATAATTACTACATCCACTTCATCTTTTTGTATTTTTACTGAAGACAGTACCTTAAAATCCCAGATCACCATAGCTCCATCCAGACCCACGCTGCTGTACTGCACAACTTTGGCTTTGTCCAGTGATACAATACGCAGCTGCCTGCAGAGCACAAAGTAACAGCTAAGAAAGGAAATGACAACAAAGGTGAAAATATTTGGACAGACAAAATGTCTGACACGTACAAACAGATGCTCTTCTGTGAGCAAAGTGAGATCAACGGGTATTAATGATGGTTTTAAAATCAGTTTCCATTTTAATTTGTCAGTTCACTTGAATTGTATTTACATAGCACCAAATCACAACAACAGTCACCTCAGCACACTTTACTTTGTAAATAATAGAGAGAAACCACAACAATCATGTGACCCCCTGTGAGCAAGCACTTTGGCGACAGTGGGAAGGAAAAACTCCCTTTTAACAGGAAGAAACCTCCAGCAGAACCAAGCTCAGGGAGGGGCGGGGCCATCTGCTGTGATTGGTTTGGGAGCCAGAGATTAATAATAACTAATGATTAAACAGAGAGAGGTCTTTTAACACATAGTGAGTGAAGAAGAAACACTCAGCTTTGGAAATGTTGGCAGAAAATAAAGTGGGTGAGAGCTGTAGGATGACAAATAGTATAAAATATTTAAAACATGCTTCCTTCACTCAGTTGTTTAAGAACAGAACCTCCTCAGTAAGGTTATTGTGCCTTTTCAAATTAAAAAGCAGTATTCCTCACGTGATGCTGTTTTGATGAAGTGCGTCCAGGTCACCGGTTTCCTCGTCAGTGGCCTTTTTGTCCAGGTTGCGAAAGTGTTGCATTGCTGACATATTCCCTTTGGAGGTCTGCTTTGGGATATCAAGCTTCTTCACAAACTCCAGAGAGCGTGGGCCCTTATACGTGTACTGGTAGGGGCAACAGTCATGTCCCTGGGTGCAGAAAAAGCACAAAAGAATATCTGATCATTTTGGATATTCGGTTTTTCAATGTGATATTGTGTGACCAATGGCCATGGAGCAGCAAAGCTCAGACACAATTTAGTATAATCTTTTTCTTTTATTTATCAAGGCTTCAGTTTTGTCTTTCTGTCTTGAACATGCCTTTCACATGACTCAGAGTCATTTAATCTATTGATAATATGGAGATTTTACATCTTTACACAGTTGAATAATTTTGATTTACACAGACAAACACATGGAGCGGGGCATAGTTACCGCAGCAACAATCTCAGTAGGGCTGATATAGAGGACGCTCAGCAGTGGCAGGCTGTCACTGGTCAGCTGGATTACCCTAACAGATGAACAGGTGAAATGATATAAGGTCATGCACCTGTGGCACTCCTATATACAAGGAAAGGTTTACAGTAATGGCTATATGTTTAAGTGAATAAAATAATACTCCTCATATTAATGAAGTAAGTGGTTGGGTAGCAATACTTACTCCTTCCCCTGTGTGGCATCAGCGACACTGATGCTGCTGTTGTGGGCCACCCAGGCCAACTGGTCTCCACTGGGAGAGAAGGAAACACTGTGTACCCACCCACCACAGTCTTTATGCTCCAGCATCATCTCCCCAAAAGGCATCTTGGCCCCCCAGGCAGTGGGCCCGGGCTTTTCCTCAATGTCCTTGATGTAGGTTGAGAAAATCCTGGGAAACACAAATATCTCTTTGTTAGTTCTTAAATAGTGAATCAGTGTGTTTTGTCTACTTTTTCATTACCCATAAAGCCTGTATGGCCCATAACCAAAATGAATAAGACATCTTTGGTTCAAGTGTACTGACATTATTTTATAACATAAAACCTTGTGGTTGCCTTTCATGCTTGACATATCTGACTTTTTACTTTTATTATTTAAACATTTTTACACAAGACAATATTAGGTTAAAGCAAATATAGTATAAAATTAAACTTAGCACAAAAAGCAGATTGATGCTTGATGGCAGTTGTTTATTTCTCCTTAAATGGTGCTACATCTTTAAGGAGAATGTGTGACTTATGCAGCAGAGTTGAGTATTTGGGCTGTGCCGTTGAAAACTTATTCTGCTACTGACTTTTGTTTTGAGCTTCTGGTGACAATAAGGTGATTAATCGACACCAGACTAGCAACACCGGCTACAACAGTCAGTTTGCTTCTCATCCAAGTATGCCATGTTTGCCTGATCAGGCAAATTCAAGCTGGTGTTCTGCAAAACCGAGCTGCAACATTAATTCGCGTGATCCCTAGTACCATCTATAAACTGATGGTCAAGCTCCATGTAATGCAGGATGTCGAAGATAGGCTGTGAAGTGGGCATGCCAAGAAGATGACACGACAAGAAGACCATTTCCTCACCCTGTCAGCCAGGCGAGCCAGGAGGTCTGCTATGGCTGCCCTTCACTGTCAGGACCAGTTGCAGTGGTGCTGGCGACACATGCACTGGACTTGAACATGTGGAGGAACATTAGCGATGAGTCCAGATTCTGCCTACAGCAGTTGGATTGTATGGTAGTGTGAAGACGCAAAGAACACTGAGCTGATTTCTTCACCAGCCAGAGATTTTGGTTGAGGCAGTGCGATGGTGGTGGCGAGGCTTCTCCTCACTGGAGGCAGTTTCAATGCTGAGAGATATCGAGATGAGGTTGTGCAACCAGGCAATCCCATATCTCCACAGTCCGGGACCAAACTCTATTCTCCAAGATGACAGTGCTCGTCCCCACAGAGCGCAGTTTACCAGAAACCTCCAGAACTCGGGAGGAGAGTGGGTCGATTGGCCTACCTGCAGTCCTGACCTGAACATTGAACATTTGCGGGATCAGTTTGGATGCCATGTTTGCACAAGAGAGACAAATGCTGGTTGAAGAATGGGATGCCGATCCACAACAGTGTGTGAACAAGCCAGTGACCAGCATTAGGAGGAGGTAACAGGCTGTTGTGGCTATGTATGGTAATTCAGACTTCAATGATCCAGTTCAATGAATGACACCAAACAACAGTCAAACTGGCACTGCCAGAGATGATTTGGCACACTTTCCTATGAAAGTAATGTGTCTTCTTTATCCTGATCATGGCTTTAAACTGAAATTCCCAACACCTGTTAACTCTAGACTTAGTCAAACTTTGTGGTAAATGGACTGATTCTTATATAGCGCTTTTCTACTGTCCTGGAGTACTCAAAGCGCTCTATACAACACGCCGCATTCACCCATACTCACCCATTCACACAAGTACTCTATGCCTCTCACACTCATGCACATTCATACTCCAATGGTTGCATGGGGGTTAGTATCTTGCCCAAGGATATTTGGCATGCAGACTGGGGGAGCCAGTAATTGACCCACCAACCTTCCAATTGGCAGATGACGTGCACTACCTCCTGAGCTACAGCCATCCCTTAGGATTTACACAAAGGAAATCCTAACCCTCATTGATGAGGGCAACAGAAGACTGTAAATGTGATTAAGTCAAAATAAATTCCACTGTATTAGTATGTGTTAATCAAGGAGCAAGATCCAGTGCAACAGTGTGACTTGAAGATTTGTCTAAAACAAATTTGTTATGGATAGGCGTAGCTTTGGGTCACGTGGTGTCAGTAATAGCGATTGCTATATCACCTGTTCACGGCCCGAGGGAAATTTTGTGAATGAGTGGGTGATGGGGGAAGTCGACCTTTGCTGACCGCTCAAGCTTGGAATGTTTTGATCACTGTTTTTCTACGGATTTTAAGGATTTGATAACAAATAAAGGAGTTTTAACTTGGAACTTTGACTAACGTTTTAAACAGCGGGCGCGTCAACATTATTCCCCTATTCAGCTGCTCGGCGACTCAAAGGCTTGA